TGAACACTATTCAATGATGGAGTTATTCTTTTGATCCTTTTGAATACATGAAACACGTTTTGATGCAGATAATACATAAGGGTCTTTTCAATAACGATGTTGCATGCCTTTTGCTATACAAACGTCAAGGTGATACAAAGGCACAAAGTCGCATAGATCAACTGATTTGCCGAGTTGGAGAACCAGCTTTAGAGTTACACAAACAGGCGATGGCATCTCCTTTTATACATGTAAGCGACATATACGGCATGGCAAGGTTATTGATAATAGGTATGGGAAGTAATGGGGAGGGGAGGAGAAAAAATCACAAGTGAAAGAAGTCACAACTGTAAGAGAATAAAGTCGGATGTTGAACCAACAATAACTGTAGAAATGAAAAGGACATTTGAATTCGAGTTAAGAGTAACTCTCCATCACTGTAACTAGATTCTACATACTAGTGTTAAAACAATCTCAACCTGTACTCGTTAGCTCGCCCGCCAGAAACTCTGCTCGTTGTGCGGCAAGCTCGTTTGCACTAACGAACACCGTACACCGTACTCCGTACACATGGCAGCACATGTCGACCGGGGAGTCGTAAAATATGTTACGATTCCCTGGTCGATAGAGAGTCCAGTCCCGCTCAAAGTGAAAATCACTCGCAGTTATATTGTCTGGATGCCTGCACCACACTTGAGTTGCTTGTGCTGGCATTGCAGCTTTGGTGGACTCTACTGATGTCTTGTTGCGCATCTGAGTGAAAGTTACGCTCAGTCGTTTGGAAGTTTTCTCCCGCGATGCAGCGAAGACCAGGGCTACTTGCAATCTTTGCAAAACGGTCTATTCTTACAAAGGCTACTTAACCACGGTGCCGAAAAGACATCTCGACACCAAACAGCAGTCCAAAGTGAAGCAGCAGCAACCCCAATTATGCCAGTGGTGATAATTTGCGGTGATAATTTGAACCAGCTGAAAAATCGATCTTTGAAAAAAGTATATCCAAAAATTTATAATTGCCACATCAATGAAACTCGTTAGCTCGCTCGATAGCTTCCTCGTTAGTGGAACTGATCGTTCTTTTTTTTTATAGATATGCTCGCTTCAACACTACTATGTACAGTCAGAAAGTGCAAGAACTAGGCACAAAACTGACATAGTACTGAGACATCTTGAATCGTGGTTCGACCTTATTGTCCATTGGTCTTGCCAGTATCGTCATCGCAATGCATGAACATCTGCCAACGTCCTTCACAGCGGAGACTTTCAGCTCGTGCTTATCTTGCTTGCGCTCACCTTTCCTACCTGATGTTATTTCTATAACTTAGAACCTTTCAAGTTGGAAGGCTGTTGGAGTGCACATCGAAGATCTGCTAAAGCTGTTAGCCAGTTAGTTGTGAAACCAGGGCTGTTCCAAGTGCGACATTTATCAATATGGCGGCGTACCGTAGCAACCCGCATCGCAACAGCTCGCGTACGCACAGCGTACCGACGCATGCAGTCTTTCTGCACATTTTTCAAATTTATCGAAGAAAGTTTTTGTTTTTGGGCGATGGATTCGTGCCTTAGAGAGGTCGTATGATGCCATGCTGGAGGAGAATAAGTCTACCCAGACCTGGAAGCCTCCCTTCGGCGAAGTACTGAAGTTAGTATGTCCTGGAGTCAATACAGTCAATACAGGAATTGTTTTCAAGACGATGCAGTGTAATAAATTCTAGTAATGTAGTGCATCATGGAATTCGGTGTGTTTGAAACTTCGGAACACGAAGGGGCCACGTTTGCTTAACTCGCTACCATCATGATGTCAACAGATGGAACCCCACTGCTCTTATTCTACAACATGTTCTCCCCTGAGGACAGCTTACAGCCAGATTTCCGTGCATAAGAAAAGAGCGCAAATAAATCGTTAGACTGATTGCAATACATCTTGGAGAAGGAGAAGGATAGAATTCGATCGTCTGCTACTCTCTCAACGCAAAGTTGATGACATAGCAGCTACATGTACGTCTCTTCATGCGTGTGCTCTTCCCCTTTGGGGGCAGTGTGAGGATTTTAGGATTGCTGGAAATCAGATTCTGTATACTATTGGACAGCAGTTTCTGCATTGCACATGCTCCACAGTGCTCATCGGCAAGGATGTTGAATTTGCGTGTACCCCTTCACCACCCTGCTCTCCATACTATTCCAGATCAGCACTAACTGAACATTAAAGTGTTTCATTTCCAGTAAAATGTGCTCCGCCAATAAGTGCGGCATTGGAGGTGGTGATATTTATTGCCACAGTTGCACTGCTGATATTCGTCATGAAAGAAGCAATGGATGTTGGTCAAGTCAACCAGTGGGCTTGCAGTGATTTTTTTTCTTTCTTTTTTTACTATATTCACATAACCAGCTCGAAAAGAATAAGGAAAGACAATGGTACGGAGACTAGGACAAACTGACAAGTAATGAGCAGGCGCTGTGCCGAGACGCAGCAATGATGGTGGGGCATTGATGACTCTGCCGACCTGAGGTCTCGGCGTCACGGCCAAAAACACGCACCAAAACAAGGAAAAAAGAAGAAGATAGAGCTGTACAAGTCAGAAAGATGCGAAAAACCCGTAAAACCCAAGGCTTAACACGAGTGAGTGTGGGGAGAAACTATCATAGCATCATACTATTCATCGACTCGACTGCCCAGAGCCAGTTTGTGCTGCGAAGATGGCGATAAACGTTCGTTTTGAATGATTGCATTCTCTTGCTGTGGGAAGGCTGGGACAGGAGAGCTGCAGGGAGGGAGTTCCAGTTGCTGATGCTGCAGTGTGGGAAGGAGCGCTTCAGTGTCAGCGGGGCAGATGCAGGCAGCTGGTGTTGGAGCTGGTGGTCATGGCCACTGACACTACCGTGCTCGCTGCGGGTTCTGGGGTTGGCAGAGGTGATATGGCGAGGTGGCAACGCAGAGAGCAGCTGCGGTGGACCAGGCAAGTAGTGAAGCTTGTACAGGCAGGCAAGCGAGGCAACAGTACGGCGGATGGCCAAGCTGGGTAGGTGTGCCCCAGGGCCGATAGCATGGAGTGTGCGGCGCTGAACATTGTTCAGACGCTGGAGGTGACTCTGCGCAGATCCCATCCATACAAGAGGCGCATACTCCATGACTGGTCGTACGAACGCCTTATACAATGTCGTCCGGCCGGCGGGGGTGAGGATGTGGGCGGCTCTGTTTAGGACCCCAAGCTGTTCGCGTGCACGGGTGGCTACGGAGCGTAGGTGATCGCCAAAGGTCAACTTGGCGTCCACCTTCACACCAAGGAGGGTGATGCTGGTTGTCTCGGGCACCAGTGTTCCACCAAACAGGAGTGAGGGGAGATCTAAGCCGGCGCCTCTGAGGGTGGCTGTCATGGCCTGGGATTTAGTTGGTTCAAAAGTCACTTTCCACGTACGGCCCCACTCGTGCAGTCGGTCAACGGACACCTGCAGTGACTGCTCTGCGACTTCCGGAGTCTGCTGGGAGGTGACTAAGCTGTATAAGGTTGTGTCATCAGCATAGGCCTCCAAGCTGGCGCCGTCATCGAGAACGTCTGGCGCGTCGTTGATGTACGCCAGGAAAAGCGTTGGACCAAGAATGCTTCCCTGGGGGTCTTCAGCGGAGGTCGTATACGAAGCTGACGTACGCCCTCCAACAAGGCACTGTAATGAACGGGTGTCCAGGTACGAGGCAAGTCATCTCTGGAGCGGACCATCGATGCCTAGGCTGCGCACCTTGTGGAGGAGGCCGACATGAGAGACACGGTCAAACGCACCTGCGATGTCAACAGCCAGGATACGAGCCGCCCCTCCGCAGCCCACAGCGCTTGCCCAGGCAGTTTGGAGAGCTTGCAAAGCGTCTGATGTGCCGAGGCCTCTGCGAAATCCAAACTGGTGCGACGTGAGCAGATGGTGGTCCTCAAAATATTAATTAAAAAGGGGAGTGGAATTTGGCATAAGCAGTTGCATGGCTACATGTATGGCTCTAAAAATCTAATGAAATACCTAAAAGGTGTGGAGAACAACGTCTCTTAACCAGCTCCCCCTTCGCGAAGAAGTTTCAATAACTCAATAAGCGTGACATTTAGTGCGACAACAAGAGATAATCACTGGACATAACTAAAGAGGTTTTCACAACATACCTAACAGCCTAAGTGTGAATTTAATTTGCTTATGCTTGCTAGCAAAGGTTGAGTTTCTTTGTGTGGATGTATACGGCTTCAAAACAATCTAGCACTGCGTACACATGACACAATCGAACAAAATCATCTGAATACACAGCACAACAATCAGGATGCTCAAACAAATGACGATGGACGACTCATACATCAGAATAATCAGCATGTGCGGTGGACACAACCGATACCAAATGGCTAGTCGTGTGGACCCTAGCCATTGCCGCTGTCAGTGCTTTAGACGCTGCCATCGCCGTCGGTGCCGATCTTTGCTGTTGCTTGGCGTTGACGTCAGTGCTTTAGACAGCCATCACCATCGTTGCCAAATGTTGTCAACACCTGGACGCACGCATCCGACAACAGGAGACGTCCAGCAAAGAATCATCCTGGTACAAGATGATCTAACGCAGCGGCATCAACACAAAGCAACGTCACCTCACAATTAACTAGACCACCGGAAAAAAACAACCGGACAAGACACTTACTGGCATGGCAGTGACAGGAACCGCATCAACTAGAAGAATGACAAGATCAGAAACGACGGCAATGGCAGCAGGAGCAGTCTGAAGAACAAATTGCCTGACTCCACCAAGACTCGAACCAGGGACACTCGCTTGTAGCCAGCAATGCTGTAACCACTGAGCTATGGTGTAGTGGTCATCCCAGCAGAAACCGTTCAACATTTTCTTCAGACTTCGTACCTCACACTTTGTGTGAATCTATACAGGTGGGTGGAACGCAGCCCTCACTGTAATCCACACACTCCACCTACAAACTAGCACGCAATATTCTTTCAGGATCATACATCCTATCCAAATTCTACTTTGTTCTCCCAGAGGTTTGTGGGAAAATCAACTTGTTCACCTACCTGCCGGGCTGTTCAAAGCCACAACCAAATTACAATCACTGTAAGTCACATTGTGAATGTACCGTAAAAATGCCTTTTTGTTCAAGTTCTTTTGAGATGTGGCAAATGGGATTTCGGGATATTGTATCTCGTTGAATGATCTCATGTACCCTTTATGACCCGAATCTGACGCCGCTCGTGGAAGACTTTTCCAGGTATAACTCCGTGTTGGAAGCAAAGAGCTGAGATAGTGTCTTTACAAGTTCCATTGCGCATTCCTTCAAGAAAGAAACTAGCTCCTGCGATTTCTTTTCCACTTAGCCACCTATTTAACCTCTCCTTTACCACAGGCAAGTTCTCTACCAACTGGAAACTGGCTAAATTTTTGCCTATTTACAAGTGCAAAGGCAGCAAATCCCAAGCGAGTAACTATCGCCCAATTTCCCTCCTGTCCTGTATTTCCAAATTTTGCGAATGGCAATTCTTCAATCAATTATATAATCCTATTTCTCCTGCTCTGGATCCCGCGCAATCTGGGTTTCGTCGTGGTGACTCGACCGCTCTACAGCTCACCAAGCTGATCCGAAACATTGCCGACTATTGTCATATGGGGCGGAAAGTTGCCATATGCTTTTTCGACCCTGAGAAAGCTTTCGACACCGTGTGGCAGCTGACAACCTATCCAACAGAACGCAAGTTGGCTTTGTAGGTGGACTTCTCTCAGATGCCTCACCTGTTCTGTCCGGAGTGCCGCATAAAGCAAATAGCTTGGACAGTGGCTCTGCGAGCTCGTGGGCACATTCCTTAAGGACGCGAGCAGAAATACCGTCAGGCCCTGTAGCCTTGGAGACGTCGAGCTTTGTCAGAAGGCGGCGCACAGCCTCTGGGCGGAAGCGGATGGTGCGAAGAGTTCGAGCATCTGAGGGAGCAGGGTCCGGTAGGTCAGCCTCCACAAGGTCCGGACCGGCAACGCTGCATTTCTTCGAGAAGAAGCGAGCGAATGCCTCTGCTTTCTCTGAGCTCGTTGCCCACTTGCGGCCGTCAGAGTCGACAATTAGGGGAATTTCGGGCTGTGTGCGGTTGCCTGCGGCGCTCTTCAACTTCGTCCACCACTGTTTGTCTCTGAGGGACCCAGTTGTAAGGCTTCGACGGAGACTTGTCTCCTTTGCACTTCGTGATCGGAACTGGGTGGCGATCGCTACAGTCACGGAATTGCTGAACGCCTGCTGAAGTGCTGGGTCATAAGGGTGTTTTCTCCAATCGCGCCAGCGCTGAATCGCCCGTTCACGCTTATTTTGGAGTCGACGAGATGTCTGCCCTGACGTTTCCTGTGACCGGCGCTGACTCTGCCGATCACGAGCGTTCTGGCCTCGACGGGATCTCTCTTCCGACGTTTCCTGTGACCGGCGCTGATTCGCCTGTTCACGCTTATTTTGGAGTCGACGAGATGTTTGCCCTGACGTTTCCTGTGACCGGCGCTGACTCTGCCGATCACGGGCGTTCTGGTCTTTCTCTGAGCTCGTTGCCCACTTGCGGCCGTCAGAGTCGACAATTAGGGGAATTTCGGGCTGTGTGCGGTTGCCTGCGGCGCTCTTCAACTTCGTCCACCACTGTTTGTCTCTGAGGGACCCAGTTGTAAGGCTGCGACTGAGACTTGTCTCCTTTGCACGTCGTGATCGGAACTGGGTGGCGATCGCTACAGTCACGGAATTGCTGAACGCCTGCTGAAGTGCTGGGTCATAAGGGTGTTTTCTCCAATCGCGCCAGCGCTGAATCGCCCGTTCACGCTTATTTTGGAGTCGACGAGATGTCTGCCCTGACGTTTCCTGTGACCGGCGCTGACTCTGCCGATCACGGGCGTTCTGGCCTCGACGGGATCTCTCTTCCGACGTTTCCTGTGACCGGCGCTGATTCGCCTGTTCACGCTTATTTTGGAGTTGACGAGATGTCTGCCCTGACGTTTCCTGTGACCGGCGCTGACTCTGCCGATCACGGGCGTTCTGGCCTTTCTCTGAGCTCGTTGCCCACTTGCGGCCGTCAGAGTCGACAATTAGGGGAATTTCGGGCTGTGTGCGGTTGCCTGCGGCGCTCTTCAACTTCGTCCACCACTGTTTGTCTCTGAGGGACCCAGTTGTAAGGCTGCGACTGAGACTTGTCTCCTTTGCACGTCGTGATCGGAACTGGGTGGCTATCGCTACAGTCACGGAATTGCTGAACGCCTGCTGAAGTGCTGGGTCATAAGGGTGTTTTCTCCAATCGCGCCAGCGCTGAATCGCCCGTTCACGCTTATTTTGGAGTCGACGAGATGTCTGCCCTGACGTTTCCTGTGACCGGCGCTGACTCTGCCGATCACGGGCGTTCTGGCCTCGACGGGATCTCTCTTCCGACGTTTCCTGTGACCGGCGCTGATTCGCCTGTTCACGCTTATTTTGGAGTCGACGAGATGTCTGCCCTGACGTTTCCTGTGACCGGCGCTGACTCTGCCGATCACGGGCGTTCTGGCCTCGACCGGATCTCTCTTCCGACGTTTCCTGTGACCGGCGCTGAATCGCCCGTTCACGCTTATTTTGGAGTCGCCGAGATGTCTGCCCTGACGTTTCCTGTTACCGGCGCTGACTCTGCCGATCACGGGCGTTCTGGACTCGACGGGATCTCTCTTCCGACGTTTCCTGTGATCGGCGCTGAATCGCCCGTTCACGCTTATTTTGGAGTCGATTCTGCGTCTGCCCTGACGTTTCCAGGGACCGGGGCTGACTCTGCCGATCACGAGCGTTCTGGCCTCGACGGGATCTCTCTTCCGACGTTTTCTGTGACCGGCGCTGAATCGCCCGTTCACGTTTATTTTGGAGACGACTGGATCTCTCTTCCAAAGGATCTCTCTTCCAAAGTATGTTTTTGCTGACGCATCCTATCACCTATTCCGCAACTAGCGTCCATTCCAATTTTATTTCCACCTCGTCTCCCTATTAATTTTCTTTCCAAATCTCTCTCTACATCAGGGAGTCGTATACATAATACGACGAATATTGTGGCCAGCTGTTATGTACAATCCTGTAGAACCTTTATAGTCACATATAACGGGACAGATACGGTAGCTCCAGGCATGACACAAACAAACAAACACCAAATCACAGATACGGGACAGATACGGGACAGTTACGGTAGCTCCAGGTGTGACACAAACACACAAACACCAAATTAAAGCTGTGTAGACCCTGGCTAGCGCCAGACGTTACTGAAGTAACGTCTTCTGCATAGCTACGGGAATTAAAGCTGCGTGGACCCTGGCTAGCGCCAGACGTTACTGAAGTAACGTCTTCTGCATAGCTACGGGAATAAAGCACTTCCTTATGTCAGTGCATGACACAACGTGGTGTCAGAAGTTAGTCAACCAGGTCTTCTACACTTCGAGTAGAAATGGCCAAGTTCGCGCCGCCTGCAGACTTTGATTCCTCCATTCCAGATGCCTGGCCGGCTTGGAAACGCCGGTTTGCGAGATATCGCCTCGCCTCAGAGCTCAACGCGATAGACGTGAAAGTGCAAATCTCTACGTTGCTCTACTCGCTGGGCCCTGAGGCCGAAACTGTCTTCGATCAACTGGTATTCGACTCCGTTGGAGACGAGGACAAGTATGACAAGGTCATGACGAAGCTGGACGCTTACTTTACGCCAGCATTGAATGTTTTTCACCAGAGGACCATTTTCGAACAGTGCGTCCATCTTCCAGGAGAGTCCGTGGAAGAATTAGTTCGGAAACTTCAGGCAGCAGCGAAGTTCTGTGACTTTGGTGACCAGAAGGACAACAGATATCGAGATCGCCTCGTGGCTCACATTCTGGATCGTCAAGTCGCGAAGGACCTGCAGCTGATTGAGCCCGCAAAACTCACCCTCACGGACGCAGTTCTCAGGGCCAGGCAGGCCGAGAACATTTTCGGATACGTTGCAGCGCAAGCCGCCAGGCCGCAGGTCAATGCTGCATCCCGCTTTGGAGGTAAGCAGCAAGATGCAAGGAGTCGCCGCCAGCGCAGCCTGCACCAACGCCGTCCACGCAGAGGAAGAGCGGCACTGCAGCTTCAACATGTGGATGGTGTGGCCACGCTGGTTCGCACAAGAGCAACCGTTCTGCGTATCCTGCGTTCCGTCGCAAGTGTGATTCATGCGGCAAGCAGGGCGACTTCGCCGGCGTCTGTCTTTCCACTCCAGCAACCACGCGTGGTGCCAGAGCTGTCGAAAATGAATCGCTCGCGTCCCCGTCGCCATTCATGGGTGGTGTTGCAGAGCTGTCATCCAACGCCAGACCTTCCCAGTCCACCGACGCCTGGTCAGTAAGTCTGCCTGTCTGCCTGCTTGCTCGACAAATTTGATATTGAAGATCGACACAGGTGCAGACGTATCATGTATCACGCACTCCACGTATCAGAATCTCGTACTTGGTCTGGCTCATCGCAATTGTCGCTTATCTATCGCCACTAAGAACAGGAGTTTTTTTACCGCTCTGTGAAATTTCCAACAGGCATAGTGAGGAAGCATGATACATGAATACTCTCCGCTACAAGAAAAAAAATTCAGCAATGGAATCAGGTGAAGCAAGTCGAAGAAAGGAAGCAAAGTAAGCAAAATGAAGAAGAAGCGCGTTCTTGCACTCACACTAGTAATACAGGTCCAGAGTACATTCAACTCCGCATCTCTGGAGCCGCGCGGCTACATTCGCTGACATTTGCTGGTGTCTAGCTGCTGGCATAGACTGGTACATGGTAGAGTATCTCTCGCGTTCTCAGCCTATCATAATTATGGCAGCAATGGGAAAGAAACAGTTGTGGCTGTCACTTCGGTGCTTGAATGAACCGTGGGCAGTGTGACCTGTGTGTCACCACAGTGTGTTTCAACAAAGCCTTCGAATGAGGCATACAGGCCTCTCCAGACAGCTGTCATACGCTTCGCTGGATACCCTGGCCTCAACTCTTGTAATGCGGCTGCTAGGTCCACCAAGAGAAGGAACAACCAACACGTCGGCCGGGCGCATCCATCAAAAACACTTTTCTTCTTCAGCATGGGGCTCATACTCCTCTGCAGTGCACGCGTGCCTGTCACGCTTTCCAGGCCAGGATGTCAGTTGCCCCTGCTACAGTTCCGGTCTTCGGGTCTCTGCGCGCGCTTGGCTTTTGGCAACACAGACAGTGAATGGCCAGATTCCCACTTCCCAAAAAAGTCGAATACATCGCGATTCAAAGCGCTAGTCGCGATCATTTTTTCCTTGGTGCCTCCTTTGATTTTTCCATCACGATCTCCCAAGCAAAAGTAAGTTCGATATCGTGATTGGACTGTGTTTTACCTGTCAAAAAGGGCGTGGGGATAAGCGAAAATTGCGATGAGCCGGACCAAGTGCAACGCCCTGTACTCACACCATCCACTACCAAACTTCTTAGTCCATCTGGTGCACCTCTATCCATCAAGGGTCAGTTCACTGCAGACACCATGCACAAGAGTGAACTGTTCTCTATGGAGATCGTAGTTATCGATGGACCTGGATCTACCAACCTGTTGAGTCGCAGAGACTGCCCCCGACTTCGCCTGATCCAGCATTTAGATGCAGCAGAATCGTGTACCAGCAAGCCAGCACAGCCCATCGGTTGTATGGTTGGGCCCCCAGCTCATATCAACCTTGTGGATGACGCCACGCCGTACCACTGTGGTGTTGCCCGCCGTGTGCCTCTGCCTCTACAGGACAAGGTCACAGAAGAGCTCGCACGTATGGAGGAAATGGGCATCATCGTCCGGGAAACAGATCCCTCTGACTGGTGCTCTCCTATGGTGCCGGTTCGTAAACCTAATGGTCGCGTACGGATCTGCGTAGACCTAAAGAAGCTGAACGGCAACGTGAAGAGCGAGCACTTCCCTCTTCCGACAGTTGAGGACACACTGGCTAGGCTCGCCGGATCTACTGTCTTTTCCACGCTGGATGCCAACAGCGGCTTCTGGCAAGTGCCTCTCACGGAGTCTGCATCCAAGCTGACCACGTTCATCACGCCTGTGGGTCGTTTCCGTTTCCTCGGGATGCCATTCGGTATAACCTCTGCACCAGAAATCTTCCAGCGACGCCTGCAGGATTTCCTGTCCCACGTCAAAGGTTCTGAGGTATTCGTGGACGACGTTCTGGTCCACGCCGCTAACGAAGCTGAACACGACCACCAGCTGGACACAACGCGCCAGGTCCTTGCTGACGCAGGCATCACTCTTAACCCCGACAAATGCCACCTCAAGCAGTCGTCAGTCAAGTACCTGGGACACATCGTCAGCGGGTCCGGTGTGAAACCCAACCCCAGCAAAGTCTCCGCCATTGACGAACTCAAAGAGCCTACGAATGTTCCTGAGCTCCGGCGTGCCTTGGGTCTGTTCACATACGTCGCCAGATTCATCCCGGAATTGGCTACGATCTCAGCGCCCCTCCGTCAGCTCCTGCACACCAACACTGGTTGGTTCTGGGACTCCCCGCAGCAGGACGCGTTCCGTCGGCTTAAAGAGCTCGTTGTTTCAGCCCCGTGCTTAGTGCACTATGACCCCAAGCGTCCCATCATAGTCAGTGCAGATGCCAACAGCTATGGCATTGGTGGTGTTCTGCTCCAGAAGCACGATGGCGACTGGCGCCCAGTAGGCTACGCCTCTCGCTCCCTGACCAAGACGGAACAAGGCTATGCGCAGATCGAAAAGGAATGCCTCGCAGCGTTGTGGACGTGCGAGAGGTTAGACCTCTTCGGCACTCCCAGGTTCATCGTGCAGACGGACCACAAGCCCCTAGTGCCACTGATCAACACCAGAGACCTGGACAAGGTTCCCATCCGATGCCACCGAATGCTGCTAAGCTTCCTCGGGTGCGAAGTCCATGCCATACACGTTCCCAGCAAGGATCTGGTGGTGGCCGACACGCTTTCACGAGCGCCAGCATCGGCGTCAGTTGACAACGTTCTGCAAGACGACATCGGCATGGTTTTATCAACCACTGCCGAAGATCTCACGAGTCCATCCGTTCTCGCCGACCTAGCCAAGGCTACGTCTGAAGATCCCTTGTTGTCCAGTGTGATGCGCTACGTCATCCATGGCTGGCCTGCTACCGTCCCTGACGACATCAAGCCGTTCCATCGTGAGCGAGGCCAGTTGTCTCACATGCAAGGTGTCTTGTGCCACGGCTTTCGCCTGGTGGTTCCGTCCGTGCTACAGCCTGAAATCCTCCAGAAGCTGCACGATGGTCACCAAGGTGTAATGAAGAGTAAAGTCTGTGCCCGCTTCTCGTCGTGGGGGCCTGGTATCTCTGCCGACATCAAGGCGTACGTCGCCAAGTGCACTACCTGTATCAAGCAGCGTCATCAGTCTCCAGAGCCTCTTTAGACAACTCCGTTCCCCGAGCGTCCGTGGCAGCGTATTGCATCGGATCTCTGTTATGTCGACGGCCGCCAGTACCTGATTACCGTGGACTATTTCTCCCGTTACATTGATGTCGCTTGTCTCTCATCGACTACATCACGGGCCGTCATCACTCACCTGAAGAGTATATTTGCTGTCCACGGCTATCCGGACATCTTCGTCAGCGATAATGGGTCACAGTTCGCTTCCGACGCCTCTCACATCCAGTATAAGAAGTACCCCACTCTTGACAAGCTCACCCATTACAAATCTGAGCGGAACAAGGCCCGGAATATGTCTCGCTCATTTTCGCTGCGCTCACCTTCCCCTCTTCGGTCCTACGTAACCATGAACCTTCCAAGTTGGAAGGCTGTTGGTTTGCGCACTGGAGATGTGTTAGAGCTAGGTCTCGGGTCGCTGAATGTCTCAGTAGCCTGTCAGTTGTGTGCCCTATTATCGCACTTTCTGACCGTTTATCATCTCGTTACCGTCGTGGATAGTTGCTGCATAACTCGTTCTCAGGTGTTTCTTCTCTTTTTTACATTTTATTACTCGCTCTGTATCCGACTTTAAACTTTCTTTGAGTGCCGACTCTTTTTAAAATAATCTTTCTCTTTTGTAACTCGGGTATTGAGCCAATAATAAAAGTAGAAAGGAAAAGGACATATGGAAATGAGTTAAGAGTAACTCTCCACCACTGTAACTAGATACTATATACAGTCAGAAAGTGCAACAACTAGGCACAAAACTGACAGAGTACTGAGACATTCGACGTCCTGACACCTAGCTTGTACACATCTCCGTAGCGCTAACTGACAGCCTTCCAACTTGGAAGGTTCAAGGTTATGAAAAGACCAAAGAGGGGAAGGCAAGCGCAACGAAAACGAGCACAAGCTACAGTCCCAACGGAACAAAGAATGTCGATTGTCACTGGACGATGACGAGTTTCAAATTGCACACCTGATGAGCCGTCACGAACCATACGGCGAAACTTACGTCGTGTGAAACAACTTGTTTTGTAGTCAACTAGTCCATCACAATGTCATGCATGAGGAGTACTGTAGGAGTTTAGATTTCGGCTTGTACAATTCGTTCTCGCAAAGCTTCCCCCTTCTTAATTTATCTTTGATATTTTTGACCCACCCAAGTTGGGTGGTGTGCTGCTTTGCTGCTTCGAATTGTAGTTAGACCGCTTTGTCAAATCGCCTACTGGTCTCGTCATCGTCCAGTGACAATCGACATTCTTTGTTCCGTTGGGACTGTAGCTTGTGCTCGTTTTCGTTGCGCTTGCCTTCCCCTCTTTGGTCTTTCCATAACCTTGAACCTTCCAAGTTGGAAGGCTGTCGGTTAGCGCTACGGAGATGTGTTGAAGCTAGGTGTCAGGACGTCGAATGTCTCAGTACTCTGTCAGTTATGTGCCTAGTTATTGCACTTTCTGACTGTATATAGTAACTAGTTACAGTCGTGGAGAGTTACTCTTAACTCGTTTCCATATGTCCTTTTCCTTTCTACTTTCTCTTTTGTATAAATAATAATAATCCCTAGTCATAACTCGTAACAGGTTGTCCTTCTCCTCTGAGATGCCAAATAGAGTAACAAGAAATTCTTCCAGGAAGTGATATACATCCTATCAAAATTCTACTTTGATCTCCCAGGGATTTGACAAGTAATCAACTTGTTCACCTTCCTGCCGGGCTGTTCAACGCCACAACCAAATTACAATACCTGTAAGTCATGTTGTGAATGTACCGTTATTATGATCCCACCAGAGCAGTTCAGGACAAGACAAAAGGGGCACTGTTGACTTCAAGATCAAAGCTAGAACGCCGAACTAGAATGACAGAGAAGCTCAGCAGCACAACGGAGAAGCATGCGCGGCTGATACAACTTGGAGTAGAGGAGTAGAAAGAACTTCCTTGAGCGTGTAGACCTGCGCAGATTAGAGCTAGGAGAATTAACAGAGATAGCAGAAGACTGAGTAGAAGATTCAGCAGAAGGTGCAGCAGATGCAGAAGAGGATAGCGATGTTGATTCCACATCCTGGCGGCTGGCGGCAACCTCTGGCTGTGACGGCTGCGGTGATTCGGCATCTGCATGTGATGGCGGCTGTGCAGTTACCAAAGTTGAAGTCGATGGCGGTGATGACCGGTCGGATATGCCTGCACTCTCGGGTAGCATTTCTCCTCCATCGGACGGAAGACGGCGTCTAATGTGATCAGCATGGCGATTCCATATGCGACCATCATCCAGACGTACAGTAAACGTGGCTGGACCAAGACATTCTTCCGGCACACCAGGCATCCATTTAGGCGTCGATGTGAAGTTAATCACCCAAACAGCATCACCACAACAGAGATCCGACGCCCGCGCTGTGCGACGGTCAACAGCAGCACCTTGCCTGTTCAAGACACGTGCTGATGTATCTGGAAACGTCAGGTCAAGACGAGAACGTGGCTTGCGTTCATAAGCAGCTGAAATGATGATTGGCCTGTTGTTGACTGAGGCGTTAAGCGATAATGAAACAGAAAGCGGTGTAACCGTGACGCTAGGTCTCCACCAGCACCTGACAATTTCTTCAAGCCGGATTTGACTGTTTGAACTGCTCGTTCAGCAAGACCGTTGCTTGCTGGGTGGTAGGGTGAAACCAAAGTATGCTTGATACCGTTAATTGAGCAGAATTGTTGAAACTCCGAGCTGGTGAACACTGAGCCATTATCCGAGACAAGCTGTTGCGGAAGACCATGTGTAGCGAAACACTCACGAAGCTTGCCACTGGTAGCTGTCGACGTAGCAGATGGAACAGCGTGCACGTCGATGTACTTGCTGTGGCTGTCGACGATCACAAGTAGCATCTTGCCTTCCACCGGGCCTGCATAATCAATGTGCAGTCGGGTCCAGGGTTTGCCTGGCCACTCTCAGGGATGCAATGGCTGTAGTGCTGGAGACTTCTGGGTTGCTTGAGATGGCTCACAGCTGCGGACCTTGAGTTCAATTTCGGCACCGATCGATGGCCACCAGACGTAGCTGCGGGCGAGCGACTTCATTCTGGTTATGCCGGGATGGCTGAAATGTAACTCTTCCAGTAACTTTTCTCGGCCTTGGGGTGGAATGACAATGCGAGACCCCAACAGTAAGCACCCATCGATGATGGAGAGTTCACTTCGACGACGGTAGTACACTTGGTAATCGCTATGTACGTCGTTAGGCCAGCCTTCCTGGACGTACTTAAGAACTAATGGAAGCACTGGATCGCGGCGAGACCATTGCGCAACGCTCGATGATGTCACGGGAGTTCCGTCCAAAACAGTCATTGACAAAACTGTTTCAGCCGGCACGGGAACCTGGAATTCTGGCGTTGGCGCCGGCAGACGACTGAGACCATCAGCGTTTCCATTCGATTTGCCGGGCTTGTACTGTAGCTCATAGTCATAGTTGGCTAACATCAGCGCCCAACGCTGAATACGACTGCTGGCCATAGCAGGAACGGGCCGACACTCGCTGAACAAACCCAGCAGAGGTTTGTGGTCTGTTTGAAGAGTGAATGATTGGCCATACAGGTACTTGTGGAATCGCTTGACAGCGAAAACCATGGCAAGGCCTTCCTTCTCAATCTGTCCGTAGTTTCGTTCTGCTGACGACAGGGTACGCGATGCGAAGATTACCGGATGCTCCTCGCCATTGACAACATGCGACAAAACTGCCCCAATGCCGTACGGTGAGGCATCACAGCTCACAACAATTATTGGTAGTTTAGGGTCGTAATGCACACGGACGGGTGAGTCAATGAGCAGCTTCTTGCTACTCTCGAATGCGGACTGTTGACAATGAGACCAGTCCCAACTCTTGGAAGACAATAGTTCATACAACGGAGTAAGTACTGAGCTCAGGTTAGGAATGAACTTGTGGTAGTAGTTGATTAGTCCGAGATAGCTTCTCAGCTCTTGCACGTCGGTAGGAGCCCTTGCATCAATGACATCTTGCACTTTCTCCTTGGTTGGCTTAATTCCAGATGCATCGATGATGTGACCTAAGAATGTCACAGAGGACCTTGCAAATGAACGTTTGGTGCGGTTCAAATGCAATCCAGCTGCGTTGAGACGTTCCAGAACCATGTTCAGATGTTTGTCGTGTTCTTCACGAGTTGTGCCAGAGAGAAGGATGTCATCCAAGTAGATCACGACCATTGGTATTCCAGCTAGCAATTGGTCGAGCGTACGTTGAAATATGCTCGGGGCCGAAGACACACCAAAAGGCAGTCGGTTGTACACAAACAGTCCCTTCGTGGTGTTGATGGTGGTAAGAAGTTTAGACTGTTCATCCAGTGGTAATTGGAGATAAGCTTGACTGAGGTCCAGCTTGGTGAAGCAACAGCCATTAGCAAGTTTCACGTACAAATCCTCTATGTTCGGCAATGGGTACTTATCTGTCTTGGCTGCCTGGTTAACAGTGCACTTGTAATCACCGCAAATGCGGACTTGGCCATTGCTCTTGAGAACTGGCACAATCGGTGCTGCCCACTCAGCGAATTCGACTGGCTGAATGACATTGTTGTCGACTAGTTTGTCCAGCTCCTTCTCCACGGCAGACTGTAGAGCATAAGGCACAGAGCGAGCTTTCAGGAAGCGAGGTCTAGCATTGCGGTCGACTGCAAGCTTGACACTGCTGTGCTTCCAGGTGCCTAGTCCGGGCTTGAAAACATCAGGATGCTTGCTCAGGAGGTCACTGCTCAGATCTCCGGTGACATTGAAGACTCGGTTCCAGTTGAGCTTTAGCGTCTGCAGCGCGTCTCTACCCAACAGATTCAGACCAGAACCCTCGACGACAAACATGATCAGCTGAGCCGAGTTCTTCGCATGACGGGCATTGCAGATGAGACGACCAATAACTGGTATGATCTTGCCAGCATACGACCTAAGGCTCGGCAGGTCATTCGTCTCCAGACTCGGGAGTTGCTGCTTGGTGTCTTTCGACGCCAGTGTCTGGTACTCCGCTTTGTTGATTATTGTTACTGCCGCTCCGGTGTCTATCTCAAACACAACAGGGGTGCCAGCCAGACTCACACTACACATATAAGGATCCACGTTGGAACGCACATGACCAGAGCAACTGGTGTGGTGCAGCTCCGCACTGTATTCCGCCGTCTGGTCAGGTGATGCGAACTCCGGGGCTCTCTGCTCGGAAAACTGATGCACAGCCTTCGACCGGCATACCTTTGCGAAATGATTCGACCTGCTGCAGGACTTGCACGTCTTGCCCCATGCTGGGCAATCCGAGCGGTTGTCGTGCCATTTCCCCCCGCATCCGCTACATTTGCGAACGGCCTTACTGGAAGGACTGGGCTGGTCACGACTTGATGGGTGTCGCCTCTCCACTTTATGGACTTGGGGATGTTCAGGCTTGCTGAAGCTGCTGGCCCCGGCCATGGCTACCACAGACGACATCGTGACTTCCACTGAACGTGCGTAAGTAAGGAGGTCTGCCAACGACATGCTGCTCTCCATGAAAGCCTTTTCACGTACCTTCGACGACACACAGTGCTGTACCACCTGAGACTTTAGCTCTGTGTCCATATCTGCAAATTGACAGTGCTTGACCAAACGCCTAAGACGAGTTACGTAGCTATCAAGGGTCTCCGACTGAGATTGTTTCTCACGACGGAACAAGTAGACCTCGTATTCCCTGTTGCGCTTCGGACTGAAGTGAGCCGGCAGAGCATCCTTCAAGTCGTCGTAACTTGTAATGCTACTGCTGTCAAAGGTGAGGTAGACGTCAAACACGTCCTCTCCGCCACCGTGCAAGAGCTGGGCTCTCTGCCGCTCGTCTTCCGTGATGTTTGCTGCAATCAAATAATTATCGAAACGAGCCAGCCATTTCTCCCAACGAGGGCCAACCGACTCAGGCGGTTCCAGATCAAACGGGTTCAATGATTTTACTGTGCTCATCGTGGCAGCTGAATCAAGGACTTCGTCGCCAAATATTATGATCACACCAGAGCAGTTCAGGACAAGACAAAAGGGGCACTGTTGACTTCAAGATCAAAGCTAGAACGCCGAACTAGAACGACAGAGAAGCTCAGCAGCACAACGGAAAAGCATGCGTGGCTGATACAACTTAGAGCAAAGGAGTAGAAAGATAATGATCTATCACGTGAGGTAGCTCACTAGTACGGATATCACAACCGTAAAAAGGCATTTTTTGCCGTAGTTCTTTTCTTTTGATATGTGGCAAATGGGATTTCGGGATTTGGTATTTCGCTAATTGATCTCATGTACACTCCCCCACCCTTTATGACCTGAATCTGACGCCGCTTGTGGAAGACTTTTCCAGGTAGAACTCCGGGCTGGAAGCAAAGAGCTGAGATAGCGTCTTTACAATTGGTCTGGCGCATTCCTTCAAGACAGGAGCGGAAACACCGTCGGGTCCAGTCGCCTTTGAGGAATTCAAGACGAGCTAGAGACCTGTGGACTGCATTGGGACAAAAGTGAACTGTCGTTAGTGCATGTGAGCCAGTGAATGCTGTGTTCAGTAAGTCCATCGTAGTAAATTCGAGGCTTTGTACACTGCATTTGTTGGAAGAGAAATGTGAGAAAGCCTCCGAGTTCTCATACTAACTTGTGGCCCTCTCGCACCCTTTAAGGTAGCTCGTTCCTAAATTTAAAACTAGTCCTTTGAGCATCCTTCTGCGCAGGTTTGGAGTAAAAATATTATGAAATATTATTATTTTTTG